AGAAATAAGCGAAATTAAAATAAATTCAGTCACAAAAAAGACTTATGTAAAAATACTAAAACAATGATTCGCCTTCGGCAAATAATTGTTAAACACTGTACACAGAGTAACTACGTTGGTAGGAAGGGATCAAATTCAGAACAGATACTTAATATAACATGTTTGATTCCCAGATGCTCCGTGGTGTGGTCATTGTAAGCAATTGGCTCCAATCTGGGATAAATTAGCTGAGAAATTCAAAGATGATGATAGTATTGTTATTGCCAAGATGGACTCGACCAAGAATGAAATAGATCAAGTTCGTGTCGATAGTTTCCCAACTCTCAAATATTTCCCTAAAGATTCTGACGAGGTAACTGCACTTGTATGGATTTTAGGTTTAAAGCTGTTTAAAACTTTTATTCAAGAATGCTCGGCAGAGTAAAATAATTGGTCATTTTGAGGCTTTATTGGTTCAGGAATGACACGACAAAATGCTCAGTCATTTTACGCCCAGCACTTTTTTCTCTTGACAAGTAAAATAGTCTGGCTTTAGGCAGTGTAAAATAACAAAGTAGGGGGCATCAGAAGAATTGCTCCATCAGAGGTGTAAGAAATAGGCAGGTTTGTTTTCTTATTTCGCTATACTATTGCGGATTCGTTTATGTTTTGAAAACCGATCAGAAGGAAACGTTGAGCGGTCAGGATTTTGTTTTGTTTTCCTCGTTTAAATGATTAGAATATTCTGTGCACAGCAACTCGCAAAATTTGATATTTTCTAAGCTGTCAACTGCTGCAGGCCTAGAAAATATATTTCCCTTCCTCGCATCAAAATCCGAGAATAAAAATGTCCTGCATATGTAGATTTCAGAGCATGTATGGCGCAGCACAGTTCAATTCGACAGACGACAATCTCGACTTGCAAAACGCTTTTGGAATTTTTAAACAATACAAATTATATGGCATTCCAGTATATACTGTATAAGATGGAAAAAAATTCCTGTGAAGATATTTTCAATTGTTAAAAATTTCCTGACAGCGCTACTGCCGGCGCTGCATACTGAACATTTTCCAGCACTGAACTGCAGCTGTGCACTTCATCTATTTTATACGTTTCGATATTTTTGTCGAAAAGACGCTGAATTATGAACATATGATAATCGATTTCAAGCGCCATGGTCTTACTGTGTCGACGAAAAATAGTTGCCACACTCCCGGATTTTTTGGACGGCCAGTTTGACACCCTGGTTGAAAGCCTGGTTGATATTGTAATTCTTCGGCTCATCAGAAAATGTCTAGTGTACGGATTGATCCCATCCTCGTTCCCAGGGCCTCTACACGGAACCGGAACTGCAAGAAAATTTGCAGTAGCTTCTAAGGCGTATACTCTTGAATTTTGACTCTTTAGCACCAGTAACAATTTTCACAGAGAAGTATTAGAAAGTAACGAAGTATTTGTGTCGACATATTTTGATAGAATTTTGCGTAGCGTAAACTGCTCAACTTCTGCGGAATAGCAATTCTCTGAGTAGCCAATCATATCTCCATTTATTTGTCTAACCCACAGCCTAATTTTCAACGAGTGACCGAGTGAAAATGGCTCTGGGGACGAGAATGGATTGATCCCTCTGATGATCGTTGCTGAGCTGTGGTAGTACCCATAGGCTTATTTGCAAACGGCTAGAATGTGTATTCACGGAGAAAGTTCGATATTTTTCTTTGCTAGATTGTCGACTACACTGGCGGACGAACATTAGAAGACATGGTGAAATTCATTGAATCTGGTGGTAAAGACATGCCGGCTGAAGAACCTGCTCCCGAAGAGGAGGGTGAAGAACCCAGTGAAGGCGATGAGGAGGCGACTGAAGAAGGCGAAGAAACGCCTGAAGAAGGCGAAGAAGCACAACCCAAGGAAGAATTGTAAAAGAAATACGTTATCGTCGTTGTCTTCCGCCACGTGGCGAACATACAACATGGACGACTGTCTTTTATAGTCGCATGAATATTATACGTATTTCCTTTATAAATTATTTAGTTTAAATATTCTTAGGTACGTTATGTTTTAATACATTTGTTGTGCAATAAAGAACTTTTTCAAAAATGCATGTGTGTTTTGGGGCCAGCACGGCCCCAAACGTTTTGTAGCCCGTCCCCAACGAGTGGGGGCCCAATTTCGAACCCTGACCCTGCAATCCTCTGTGGAGGCTTGCAGAGGATTGCAGGCTCAGGGTTCGAGATTGGTGGGGGCCCTAATTGTCGGGCTTTCGGGGGGGGGGGGCATTTCGCCCGGGAAATTATTTTATTTTAGGGTCTTCGAAACGCTATTTCATGTCTTTTAATATACACATTTTGTATGATAATATGAAAGAAATAGATTTGTGTATTTCATGTCATAGATGAAAACATTAAGAGGTTACGCCTCCCCCCCCCCCCCC